CCTTCTCTCTCTCCTCCCTCCATTCCCTTCCATTCTTCTCTTCATCCTTTCCTTCCTTTACTTTTTCCTTCCTCCTTTTCTCCTGGGGAATGTTTACCTGGAAGAAGAGAAGGTAGAGAGGGAACATAACCTCTCTACCGGGCAATTGTGCTACCCAGCACAATTCAAAGTGCTGGCTTTAGCCTATAAAGCCCTAAACGGTTATGGCCCAGCTTACCTGTCCGAACGTATATCTCCCTATGAACCATTTTGGAGTTTAAGATCATCTGGGAAGGCCCAGCTCTCGATCCCACCTTCTTTGCAGGCGCATCTGGCAGGGACGAGAGACAGGGCCTTCTCAGTGGTGGCCCCTCAGCTGTGGAACACCCCTCCCTAGGGATATTAGATTGGCCCCCTCCCTTCTGACCTTCCAAAAAAAAAAAAAGGTAAAAACCTGGCTCTTTGAATAAGCCTTTGGAAATGCAGTGCAACAGACAAACATGGAAATTATGTAAGATTGAAACATGGAACGGCTGACGATCCTACTGGAAAATGAGATTAACAGGAAGACATTGGTTATTCTATGTTTTAATGGTTTTTGTATGGATTTCATAATGTTGCTTTAAACGTTTTAATTGTATATTGTGGATTGTTATGGCATCCAATTGCTGCGAATTTGTAAGCCACCTTGAATCACCTTCAGGCTTGAGAAAGGTGGGATAGAAATGTCGTAAATAAATACATAAATAAATAACCAAGATTTCAAAGAGTGTCCCATTGTGGAGGAGGGGGAAAAAACTGACTTTCTGATTCTTTAGAGACCAGGGCACAATTGAGCAATGGATTCAAATGGCAGGGAAAGAGATTCAACTGAAAAGATTAGGAAGAACTTCCTGAGAGTAAGAGCTGTTGGAGAGTGGCATAGGCTGCCTCGGAGTGTGATGGAGGCTTTTCTACAGGGGCTGTCTATCGGGAGTGCTTTGACTGTGCCTTATGCATGGCAGGGGTTTGGACTGGATGGCCTTTGGGGGTCGCTTCTAGCTCTAGGACGCTATATCAGGAGTAAGCAAGATGAGGTCTCATAGATATACTTTTTCTCTCCCGTCCATTATCTCATCCTGACCAAGGTTAACCCTTTTGGGATCCAAATGTCTTTCCTTCACTTTCTGCCTCTGAAATAGAAGAGGAAGGGGAAGAAAGGGCAAGGGGGGGGGGCTTGGGGAGAACCTCCCCCTCCCGGCCCACCCGTCTTACTCTGGCCCACCATGTGGCCCACAAGTTAGAAAGTTTGCCCATGCCTGGTTTAAGGCATTGAATAATTGCCATATGTAAGCTGCCTTGAAGGAGCCCCCGATGGTACAGTGGGTTAAAGTGTTGAACTGCTGAATTTGCTGAAAACATGCAAATGTGAATATTTATTTATTTATTCAAAGTATTCATATACTGCCCTTCTCAGCCCACAGGCATGGAGCCCCCGACAGGACTGAAGACTGACAGGTCTCAGGTTCGAATCCGGGGAGAGCGTGGATGAGCTCCCTCTATCAGCCCCAGCTCCTCATGCGGGGACGTGAGAGAAGCCTCCCACAAGGATGGTAACACATCAAAACATCAGGCCGTCCCCTGGGCAACATACTTGCAGACAGCTAATTCTCTCACACCAGAAGTGACTTGCAGTTTCTCAAGTCACTCCTGACACAACAAAAAAAACCCTGCAGGGGACTCAGGGTGGATTACAATGTACATATATATGGTAAACATTAAGTGCCATAGACACACAACATATATAGACAGACACACGGAGGCTATTTAACATTTCAGCTTTCACTCTGGCCACCAGGGGAGCTATCGCCTTACCATCCATTTGTGACCCTGAAGTACTTCCTCATTCTTTGAAGGCTTGCTGGAGATTTTTATGACGTCATAAATTAGTTAAATTAGCCTCCCCGCATAAGCGGTACCTAAATTTCCTACTTGACAGATGCAACTGTCTTTCAGGCTGCAAAGGTCAACAGCAAGCTATACAAATTGGTCAGAAGCTCACTCCGACCTGGACTGAGTAGATCAATAAGTACCGTTCCGGCGGGAAGGTAACGGCGCTCCATGCAGTCATGCCAGCCACATGACCTTGGAGGTGTCTACGGACAATGCTGGCTCTTTGGCTTAGAAATGGAGATGAGCATCAACCTCCAAAGTCGGACATGACTGGACTTAATGTCGGAGGGAAACTTTTACCTTTACCTAAGTCGCCTTGAGTCCCCCTTGGGGTATAAATAGGGCAAATAAATAAATAAATAAATAAATAATCAAAGCAGATAGTACAATGCTTCATGTGAGTCCACACTGCCATATAATCCAGTTCAAAGCAGATTATCTGAATTTTATATGCTAGCGTAGAAAGGGCCTCAGTTTGGTCCCAAACGAATTAAATCAAACCACAGCATACATTATTGTTCAGCAATTTCACCTTGGAATCTCTTTCAGCATTCTTCGTGGAATAATGGTAACTTTCACCTCCGTAACAGAGTGTCCTTGGAAACTGAAATGTTCTCCCTCTCATTTCTGAATGTTGCCATTTTTCGATGCTGGATTGGTGCCCATTTGTACGGTTTTGCCGAGAGACTGGCCTGTTTGTTCCGCAAAGAGCGGTGAGCTATTGTGTTTTATGAAGGCTCAAGGATTTTGGGGGTGCCCTTCCACACATGTGCAAGCCTTTTCAGCCATCTCTGACTTTCAACTGGTCTGTATATGTATGAAGAGAAGAGGTTTGAGCCAAGATACTTTGTGAAAATGGTGATAAAAGGCTGTGCGCATTACGGTCTGAACTAAAGGTGAGTTCTTATACAATTGAGCAATTTTAAAGAAGACTTTAATTTCACAGCATACTAACCTTATGACAATTCCAACTCCAACCATCCATGTTCAAAGTGGATGAAAGTGAATATTATGGGGGATGCAGGTAATAACTGAAGCCATAATGGAGTTCGGTTTTGTCTGCCTGTCACCGAGATTGACTCAACTGAAAGTAGAATTGGAGTATTAAACCAGGTATCACCACAAACAGAACTGAGATCAGAGGTTAATAGTGATTCCTTCCAAAAGCTAGCACTGAGAAACGTTAGGTGTGCTGTGCTCATATCAAAACAGATTATCCACTTTGAACTGGATTATGTGAGTCTACACTGCCATATAATCCAGTTCAAAGCAGATAATCTGGATTTTATAAAGCAGCGTAGAAGAGGCCTTAGTTTCCATACCCCTTTCCAATTGGATCTACACTGCCATATATCCCAGTATCTGACCTCAGATTATCTATTTATCCTAGATTATCTGGAAATGGAGACTCATTATAATCCAGTCCAAATCAGATAATCTGGTATCAGATCTTGGGACATAAATCAGTGTAGATCCAGCCTCATTCCTTCACCTTTGCTGTCTCATGCAGAATCTGTTGTTTTGGTTATGTACCTGCAGTTTGTAGGACATCCTTCCTCCAAGGAGTGGAATCTCATATTTATAACAGGGTCAAAATACACACAATGCTAAATGTGTCATTTACAAACACACTTTTGAGATCCAGAGCTTTGCAAAAGCTGATAGCTATTTTATGTATTTTAATTGTCTTCTAAGGATTTATGTCTTAATGGTTAATTTATGTTATCTGTATATTACTTATTTTATTATTTGCACTTGGTTTTTTTTATTTTGATGTTAATTTTTCTGTTGTCATAAGTTCATGGTCATTATTTGTGTATTATTTTGTATTATTTTTGAGATGTTTGTATTTTTGCAGGGCATTGAATGTTTGCCTTTTTCTGTGTGTGTAAACCACTATTATATAGCATACTGAAAGAATGTGGTCAAGATAGCAAAAAGTATTAATTAGAACAACACACAAGCTAGGTAAAGTTGCAGCAGTTTGCTGCCAACCTGTCCATCGACCAGTCCTGCTAGCCCAAGATTTTAACCCATTGTGCCACCAAGGGCTCCTAGCCAGTGATGAGGAATGCTGGGAGCTGCAGCCAAACATCTGGAGAGCCATATATTTCCTACCCCACTAAATGTGAAACCTAAATCCATTTCCTCGTACAAGCTAAAGAAAACAGATTTGAGTCACTGGAAATGGGACAATTCACCATTTACACATGGACTGAATAGTTGTACTTCTGGTAGGAATTGGATTTAAGGTAGAGTTTATTGTCAAAGGCTTTCATGGCTGGAATCACTGGGTTGCTGTAAGTTTTTTGGCTGTATGGCCATGTTCCAGAAGCATTCCCTCCTGACGTTTCGCCTGCATCTATGGCAGGCATCCTCAGAGGATCTCTTTTCTCCGACTGCTCATTGGAGGGAAGGATATTAGAGACAAAGATGAAGTACTTTGGCCACATAATGAGAAGACAGGAAAGCTTGGAGAAGATACTGATGCTGGGGAAAATGGAAGGAAAAAGGAAGAGGGGCCGACCAAGGACAAGATGGATGGATGGTATCCTTGAAGGGACTGGCTTGACTCTAAAAGGGCTGGGGGTAGTGACGGCCAACAGGGAGCTCTGGCATGGGCTGGTCCATGAGGTCACGGAGTCGGAAGCGATTGAGCAAATAAACAACAAAGGTGTTCACATTAACCTGATTAATATTCCAGCTCTGTCTATCTCCATCTGATCTGTTTACTATGATAAATATAGTGGTGTTGAGGTGATTTGAAATGAGGCTCTTAGATTGGAGATTGGAAGGTGACACATTTCAGTCAACTGTTGCTCCAGTTTTTTATCCTAATTATAAAGGCTGGGAGCCAAGCTTTCCCAAGGTATAGTACTATTTGACTTACATGCAGTGTAATTACAAATTACAATTATTCCCTCTGGAAGAATCTGTTCCTCTTAATTTCACTAACAATGGGAGGTTAATTTATTTTAATGTTTTTTAAAAAGTTACCCATACCCACTCCAATTTCCCTGGAGCTGGATTCTGGAGTGTGGGATGTGGCTCAGAGTGGCTTTGTGTGTCTTCTCAGCTGGTGTGTCACCTGACGTGGGAAGCAGCGCTCAGATCTCTGTCCCAAGATGCTAAGATGCCCAACCCTGCATCCGCCTTGTAGTTCAACACCCTCTCGGGTGAGTCATCTGACCGCATCACCTTAGGGGGAAATCCTTGGACTGTGATAACTCCAGGGATCAGCTGGAGGAACAGTTGTGAAAAATCCAGGTAAGAGATGCCCAGGTGTGCTTCTGTGTGTATATACCTGTGATGGGGAAAGATAAGCCTGCCAGCAACTCAGAAGAGGAATACAAAGAGAGAAAGCCCTGTGTTTCTTAGGAAGAGGCACGGAAAAGAGCAACAGGTGCATACCTGTAGGAAGGGTCAAAAGGCTGGCTCTTGCAAAGGTATGATTTGGCAAGCAATGGGTTGATGGGATATATGGGTGTGCACTATGCAGCATCCAGGGTCTGGTTTAGAAATAAGTGCACAGGTTGTATAAGTTGACAGTGTGGACTCATATAATCCAGTTCAAAGCAGATAATTTGGATTCAGAAACTGTAGATGGGATCAAAGAAGGAGAAGAAGACTTTTATTGAGTCGTGCTAATGTATACCATCTGTCTTGTTGAGTTGCCTGCAATAATTGTATTAGATCAGTGTTTCTCAACTTGGGGGTCAGGACCCCCTGGGGGTCGCAAGGGCATGTCAAAGGGGTCGCCAAGGTCCACCAGAAAACACAGTATTTTCTGTTGGTCATGGGGGTTCTGTGTGGGAAGTCTGGTCCAATTCTCTTGTTGGTGGGGTTTGGAATGTTATTTGATACCGGGTGAACTATAAATCCCAGCAACTACAACTCCCAAATGTCAAGGTCTATTTTCCCCAAACTCCACCAGTGTTCACATTTGGGCATATTCGTGCCAAGCTTGGTCCAGATATATCATTGTTTGAGTCCACGGTGCTCCCTGGATGCAGGTGAACTACGACTCCAAAACTCAAGGTCAATGCCCACCAAACCCTTCCAGTATTTTCTGTTGGTTATGCGAGTTTTGTGTGCCAAGTTTGGTTCAATTCCCTTGTTACTGGAGTTCAGAATGCTCTTTGATTGTAGGGTAACTATAAATCCCAGCAACTACAACTCCCAAATTACAAAACCACCCCCCCCCCCCCCCCCCCCCCCCCCCAACCTCACCAGTATCCAGATTTGGGCATATCGGGTATTTGTGACAGATTTGGTTAAGTGAATGAAAATATATCCTTCTTATCAGATATTTACATCACAATTCATAACAGTAGCAAAATGACAGTTATGAAGTAGTAATGAAAAGAATGTTATGGTTGGGGGTCACCACAACATGAGGAAATGTATTAAGGGGTTGCAGCATGAGGAAGGTTGAGAACCACTTTATTAGACAAATGTTTTTAAATATGTTTATTCATTTCTTTTTGTAAATTTGTTATTGTTTTACATATACATATGGTTTTGTATTGTCTTTTATATAATGTTGTAAGTCGCTTTGGGTCCCATTTAGGGAGAAAAGTGGTATATAAATAAAGATTACTACTACTACTACTACTACAAGAAATATTGGGCAGAAGTACCACCATCAGCATACCTCCTTACCAACTTATTCATCACACTAGAGAAAAATCCACTTAAAATCCGTTTTCTGCCTCCTGCCGAATTCTGGGGTTTGTAGTCTAGTGAGGCTGTTAAAGGCTCCTTCCTAAACTACAAACCCCAGAATTCTGCAGGAGGCAAAAACCGGATTTTATGTGATGAGGCCCCAAGTCTCCTGAACCAACTTGTAAAAGCCATTCACTTTTTTCTAAATCAGAACCATAAGGTAATGTAGATCCAGCATTTATCTCTTTCTCATTCATATTTTTTTTTCAAAATATAATCCGGCCCTCTAACAGTTTGAGGGACTGTTAGCTAGCCCTCGGTCTAAAAAGTTTGAGGACCCCTGGTTTAGGGGTTATTTTTTTGCCTAAGGATGTTTTGGGGTTTCACAGTTTGCAACAATGCCTAGACAGGAGTGGATAGAAGCTTTGAACTATTTTTGCACAGGCTTACACCATATTTAAAAGGTAAAAAACATCTCCAGGAAAGGCAGCCCAACCCTTATTTTTGCTTTTTGCAAAAAAATATTGTTTAAGTCTGTGGAAATTAGGGTGGTCAGAAGCTTCAGAAACAGCCTTAGTGGTTGCAGGAGGTCCCAGAATAGTACCTGGCTCATCCCTGCTCTAAATCATTAATCAGGAACCCTGTTTACACCCAGCTACCTATAGATAGTGCGTCTGACTCGTGAGCTTCGGTTCATTGACTGTCGTCATTATCGGGTGGAGCATCAACTACAACAGGTTGTCTTCCACAACATCCTATGTGCAATCTTTTTGGTATGTTGTCCTTGAGTCCCTGTTTTCCTATTTAGGTGATGCTGAATAGGGACCTACTTTAACAAAAGTCTTTATTGTGATGTCGAAGGCTTTCATGGCTGGAATCACTGGGTTGCTGTGAGTTTTCCCAGCTATATGTCCATGTTCCAGAAGTAGTCTCTCCTAATGTTTCACCCACATCTATGGCAGGCATCGTCAGAGGTGGTGAGGTTTGTTGGAAACTAGGCAAGTGAGGTTTATATATCTGTGGAATAATGTCCAGGGTGGGAAAAAGAACTCTTGTCTGCATGAGGCAAGTGTGAATGTTGCAATTGGCCACATTGATTAGCATTTAATGGCCTTGTAGCTTTATTGTAAGTCTTTATTATTGGTGTGCATCTGTTTTTGTAACTGTCTCACTCCCTTTGAGGCAAACCTTGGCACCCATCTGCCTGCCCAAATGTAAGAGTCTTTTTCGTCAAGCGAGTAAGTTAGGGAGATGTTAGCAAACATTTGTGTGCTCGGGAGCTGCAAAGATAAAAATAGAGCCGGTGGTGTGTGGTGTGTTTATTTTGACTACTGTAGGTTAGCTCCTAATTTCTCCAGGGAATAGTAGAAGCAGCAGCAAGAGGGCAAGTTGCCTGGTTGCTTTAGCTGTGCGGCACTTTATAATTGGAGAAGGCAATGACTTTGTCTTGAGAAACCTCCCTTTTCCCCAAAGAGGAGCTTTCTGTAAATCCCAAAGTCCATAGTAAAAGAAACTTCACCTTCATCAAGGGCATGCACATTGCACAGACCAATTGACATTACAGGGAAATATTGGTGCAAATAGATCAGAAATTAATGTGCATACATAAAATGATGACCAGTATTCTCCATCAGCTACCTAGTAAAATAATATAACTGTACTTAGTCATATTATTTTACTGCATAGCTGAACTAGAATACTAGCTATCATTTTATATGTGTGTTTTAATTTCTCATTTATTTTAAGTTGGTCTACTGGGGTTTGGTTCCAGGTCCCACTATGGCAGTGGTTCTCAACCTTCCTCATGCCGCGACCCCTTAATACAGTTCCTCATATTGTGGTGACCCCCAACCATAAAATTATTTTTGTTGCTACTTCATAACTGTAATTTTGCTACTGTTATGAATCATAATGTAAATATCTAATATGAAGGATGTATTTTCATTCAATGGATCAAATCTGGCACAAATACCCGATAAGCCCAAATTTGAATACTGATGGGGTTGGGGGGATTGATTCTGTCATTTGGGAGTTGTAGTTGCTGGGACCTACAATCATTCTGAACTCCACCAATGGAATTGAACCAAACTTGGCACACAGAACTCCCATGACCAACAAGAAATACTGGAAGGGTTTGGTGGGCATTGACCTTGAGTTTTGGAGTTGTAGTTCACCTACATCCAGATAGCACTGGGCCTCAAACAATGATGGATCTCAACTAAACTTAGCAGGAATACTTAACATGTCCAAATGTGTACACTGGTGGATTTTGGGGGAAATAAACCTTGACACTTGGGAGTTGTAGTTGCTGAGATTTATAGTTCACCTACAAGCAGAGCCCCTTGAATCCCATCCATGATAGAATTGGGCCAAACATCCCACACAGAACCGGTATGACCAACAGAAAATGTTTTCTGATGGTCTTTGATGAACCTTTTGACACCCCCTTGTCCTGTCCCCCCCCCAACCAGGGGTCCCGACCCCCAGGTTGAGAAATACTGCACTATGGATACTGAAATCTGTGGGTGTTCAGCTCCCATTGTATATAATAGCATCCATTATATGAAATGGCTAAGTCCCAAGAGGGTCAGAAAGAGGTGATGTTCCAGGGGTCAGAGGCCACTTCCACACAGCTGTATAAAATCCACATTATCTGCTTTGAACTGGATTATATGGCAGTGTGGACTCAACCCAGTTCTAAGCAGATAATGTGGATTATCTGCCTTGATCTTTTGGATTATATGTCTGTGTGGAAGGGCCCATAGATGCTCTGAGCACAATTCCAAGTAGACTACAAAACAAATCAATTACATTCACATAGGTAAGATTCCAATAGCACAATTATTACAAGTGATGCTACTCACAATGTGCCGCTTTATCTGATGACCCTTCACTAAGCGCTAGATTCTTATACAGATTCTGAATCAGTGATAATCCAAAACTCCAGTCAGTTTACATCCGGTATATTGTGAAACTAAGATGATAATGATAGGTGCAACCACACTGTAGAATTAAGACAACATGATTAGAGTTGGCCCATTGCCTGCTTATGTGTGAGATATAAAAAGTTACTTATTGGGAGGTACAGCTCGCAGAATCCCACCAATGCCAATGACTATGCTTGCTAAGGGAGAGCCGAAAGCTGAAATCCAAAGAAGCAGTGTTTCCAAGCTCTGATGCATAGATTCCTAATCTATTTTCAATGTTGGTAGTTCTAACCTGAGAGCCAGTGTGTTGCATTGATTTGAATGACTTTGGCAACCAGGCTGTTGAATGTTTGTGAACATTCTGTGAAAATAAAGAGCTTCATAACTGGTTTGGAGGGGCTTATATGTGATAATGAGGCTGTGCAGTTTAATCTGGTTTAGTTTACATTGTAAAAACAATACAATAAACAATTGTTTCTTCTTTTCTAAAGATTTAACGTAATAAGTAAAGGTAAAGGTTTTTCCCTGACATTAAGTCCAGTTGTATCCGACTCTGGGGGTTGGTGCTCATCTCTATTTCTAAGCCGAAGAGCTGGCGTTGTCTGTAGACACCTCCAAGGTCATGTGGCCGGCATGACTGCATGGAGCGCTGTTACCTTCCCAACGGAATGGTATCTATTGATCTACTCACATTTGCATGTTTTTGAACTGCTAGTTGGCAGAAGCTGGGGCTAACAGCAGGAGCTCACGCCACTCCCTGGATCTGAACCTGCGACCTTTCGATCAGCAAGTTCAGCAGCCCAGCACTGCGCCACTGGGGGCTCCTAATAATAATAATAATAATAATAATAATA